AGCCACGCAGTACTTAAGCTTATGAGTCTGATTTATTTTATTTAATTTATGGTGTCAAAGTGCACCCACTGTCCTAGAAATCACTCGTTTGTCCTTATTTGTTAAAATACACATTATGATATATTATGGCTTGTGTCTAGATGTCCCCTCAAGCCTCATGTGATCATAGGTGGGGCTTTTTCACAGGTGGTGGGATCTAGAGTATGTGCTTGATTCACGGTGCAATGCTGAGATTAAGAGTGTGATTACTAAATCGGCCCACTGATCGGCTTGGCACTGCCCCAGTTCCAGTAGCAGGGTACAAACAGGGTAGAAAGACGCTGTAAAGGGCCCTCCCTTGTTGCTTTGCTATCTTGTGCGTGCCATGAACTGTTTTCCTCTGTGATGCCACTCTGCCAAGCCACCCTGCCTTGGAGCCAGCTGATTATGGACTAAAACTTGTACAAAGTGTGGACTTCATTCTTAATCTCATAATAATCTCTTCAATAACAGGCCAGAGTTAACAGCACCAACAAAAGGACTAAAATATCAGAGAAAGAAGAATGATATTATTTGCTTTTCCTGGGACAAAGTCAAAGGAGTAACAATGCTATTATTAAAGAAGCTTCCAAATGCTGCCCAGAATCTCAGAAAATCTTAATGTAACAGCAAAAGGAGAGAGCAAAAGATGTCATCTCCCAAATTAGGTACAAAGACAGGAATAAAGATATGATTTCCCTTATTTTTTTCCAGTTTACAGAATGTATTTCGATTTGTTAAGAGACTTTTTCCAAGCAGCTCAAGAATAAAATACCTTAATGATACTTCTCTGAATAGGTCCCTAAGAGTTTAGTAAATGGCCTATGCAATTAAGTTCAGTTCAAAGGACCAAGTATAGCACTTAATTCACAAGGTGAAACTGAACCGCTAAATTCAGTTTATACTAGCAAATTCAGCTGAAAGTTCTTAGAATCTACGTTACTTTGCTTGGTCCGGCTGTGACTTGTGTACAAGGTGAATTGAACTTTTTACTTTATGGACATTTCCAAGGCATAGAATTGCTATTCAGAGAATGAAAATCAGACATAACTTTGTGATCTTAATTATGGGCAGAGGAAGGCTGGCATGCTCTATCAGATTCATTGGAGGTAGTGTTTAAAATCACACATGTGCACTATCGCTGCAGGCACTTGTTAATACCCACTGAGGGAACTGTGAGGTGGGAAAAAGGTTGCTCCACATCAGCCTGTCACAGGCCAGAGATGTAGCTCAGCGGCACAAGCACCTGCCTAGCAAGTGCAAGGTCCTGAGTTTGATTCCCAGTACCGGAAAAAAAAAAAAAATCAGCCTGTCTTCTTGGATAATTGAAGCCAACACAGATGTCTTTAAAACCTGAATGACTTGGGAATACCCATTTCATTCACGCAAAGGTGTGAATGAAGGCAAATCCCCAAATACGTTTCATTAGGGGAGTGGAATAGTTTCTGTAAACAAAGACCAGAGTATTTCATATGCCATCTATGGGATAGAATTCGTGGGGACTCATGCCGCCCTCGACGGTGCCTTGGAAACTGCAAAATGAAGCATCACAAGCCGTATCTCGAGTGTGTTCTGCCTCATTGATCAAACAGTTGACCCAATTGCGACTATCCGTAGTATTAGCGCTGCTTGGTGTCTTTGAACACATGGGTACCGATTGTTACGTTTCCAAGATGCACAGACCTATTTGAAGGTAACGAGATGCTTTGGAGTTTGGGTGACTCTTTGATACTCTTACTATATTTTTTGGCTTATATAAAAACCATTTGGGAAACTCATAAAGGAAGTGCATAAAAAAGAGAAGTACAATGCCAAGAGAAGCAAAATAGAAAATCTTAGGTTGGTCAGCAAATCTCTGCAATAATCACACTTTACTTTTTTTACTGTTTAAATTTGACTCTAGAACAATCCAAAACAATTGAGCCAATAATAATAATTACACTAAAGGTAACTATTTGTGGAATCACAGTGCAGTTTAGAAAGCAAACCTTATAAATTCTGAACATATTGTAAAAACAGTCTGGGTAGGATTTATCTCCTCATTTACAAACACTTGACTTTATTTTTTTTATTTTTTTTTTGGTTTTTCTCCGGTACCAGGAACCGAACTCATGACCTTGCGCTTGCCAGGCAGGCGCTTTGCCGCTGAGCTAAATCCCCAGCCCCCAAACACTTCACTTTAATAAGAACTTTTTTATTTTATCTTTTTTTATACTGCTAGGGATTAAACCCAGAGGGGCCGTACTACTGAATTAATCTCCAGTCTCCCCCACCTCTACCATCCTTTTTTAGTTTGTGGCAGCATTTCCAAAAGTTCCTTGTGCTTGCTCCCAATTTGAGATCCTCCTGCCTCAGTTCCTGATTATACGTGTGTGCCACCAGAGGCAGCAGATGGTTAATCTAAATCCATTGTACCTTTGGAGGGAAATATTTCTTACCAACTCATTCTCAATCCTTAGTTTGGAGTCAAGCCCACAGGATAAAGAAAGTCTTCTGGCAGAGGTTGGGACACTTATCTACATTCTAGGTCAACTGGTGATTGAGAAATTTGCAACCAGAAACAGGAACTGACTGGGAGTCAGATTTTAAGTAGTTCAGGTAATCCTGGGAGGTGTCCGCAAGTATCAGTGACCAGAAAAATATACAAAACAGGAAGAACAAATACTGAATCAAGGTTAGTGCGTGGTGTCCAGGACTGGGTGTTGGTGGGTATGGTTAAAGTACATACAGTTATGGAAAGAAGGGGGGCATTTACTAAAGTCTTGCTATTGGAAGATGCAGGAGTAAATGCTTTAATTACTTTACTGGTAGGAATCATTTTGCAACTTCCCCAAGAGCCCTCATAGAATCTAAATTGGATTCTTGTTCTGCTTGCCTGCCTTCAGACCCGTAGTCCCCTACCCCATACCATGCAGACAGGGCGTGGAATTCCAGGAATGCATCCAGGCCTAGAGAATAAGCAGATCTTGCTCCACAGGACACAGCAGGCAGGAGGAGACGTGGCTTTGCACAAGCTTGTGGTAGGAGCAGCTGCCGCCTGGCTCTCTGAAGGGCGGAGGGTTGTGGTAACACTGCATGGAGATACCAGGCTGGAGATAGTGCAGTCCACAAGGCGTGAGTGAATCTCGCACTGAGAGCGCGTTCCTGTACTCAAACCAGGGAACCATGAGAGAAGCTGTCTGGGCCCCAGTGAGGATGGAGGCAGGAGGGTGAGAGGCCTTGGTGCCTCTAGTCCACTCTGTAGCTTTCGGTGACAGAGCTCCTATCACAGTTCGCCCGTTTGTCTTCAAATGGCTCCAATTCCTAATCAAACTCCAGCCCCTTTTAGGACTAGAAGTGCTCCCAGCTCCCCGATCCCCGCCATTGCCCTTCCCTGGATGCCTCAGCAATCCTTCTTGATTCCCTTGACTTTTGCTCCTTTGTTAAGGAGCCTCTTCAAAGCGCTCAGGTGAGAAAGCAGACTGATCCCTTAGGATCTGCCTGGTTGTGCAGAAAGCCGAAGTCAGAGCAGGCCAGCAGCTGAGTCACTGCAGCTAGCACGACATCCTACCCCACACAGAAGGGGTCCACAGCTGGGACGCTCTGGTTACAGATGCCTGGCCGCTAGGGACAGGATGCTGAGGCAAAGTTTCAGAGCATAGGAGCGAGAGCGCCGGAATTTTGGACACAGGTCAACGTCTTCTGAAGAGGAGTTTATCGATATTGGTTCAGATTCTCAAACTGATCTTAATATTCGTATCCTGGGGAAGGGGAGAGATGGGGAGCAGCGGGTAGGTATGGACAGAGGGCTGGGAGATGCGGTCTCTGAACCGACACACACGTACTTTGCAAATATAATTCCGCGCTCACTAAGCCAGAAGGTCTGCACTATGCCCAGGGAGTGGAGAGGGCATTGGATGTGGGCCTCGGTGCCCAGGTGGTTTTTCCTGAAGTGTACGCGTGGGGGTGTGTATGACGCCTCCCCCTAAAGATAAATAATAATCACCAGCTTTTATGAGCTCTTGCCGTGAAGCAGACACTGTTCTGAGTGTTTACATCCATTCCATCAGGGTGGATCTAAGATCGTGCTGGCTCTCCCGACGCGGACACTGGCACAGAACGGTGAAGCCCGAGGTCCCACGTTTAGAAATTTTTGAGCGGGGAATCACCCAGGTGCCCCGGTTCTAGAGCCTGTCGTCCTCACCACCTCTCATACTGTCTCAATGCCTGACTTGTAAGAGGAAGCACCTGCTTGAGTTTTATTTTTTTAAATATTTATTTATTTATCTATTTATT